TCCCTTAATCTGAGGTTCCCTGGTAGAATTCCCCTATTTTGATTAAACTGATTTGACTCAGATTATTTTTAGTTTGTATAAGTATCGTTCAATTTAAAGTTTGTATTTTGCATTTTTGTATATAAATATATTGTAAGAAAAACCGAATCGTGGAATATTTGAGAAACTTAGTGCATTGCTTACTGATTTTTATTCATATACAATAATATACTTTTAATTAAAAATAACTTTACGATGATACAAAAAAATTAAAAGGCGGTAAAACTTGCAAACGCAAAATATCATTCTAATTCAATATTTATATTTGTTACGTGTGTAGATAATAATTACACCGTAGGTCACTTTTAAAGGGGACACAGTAAAAAATGATATTATGGAGTGAAACTGCCCTTTGATGACGGGAATTAAAAAGTTGTGGCCTACATTAAAACATGTTATTGCATTTTCATGAAAAATATCATTGAAATGCTAAAAACATTATGCGTTGTTGCGTAGGTCCATTTTAAAGTTTTAGCTTAGAAAAGGAATACAAAATAAACATATACTAGGGCCGTGAATAAGATCAAAATTGCATTTATTAGTAATACTTTTGTTTGATCCTGTGCCATATGTTGGAAAAAAATTCAAAAATCAAGCGATTTCTCTCAGAATAACACATTTTTTGCTCCTCACAGGGTTTGGAGATTTTCCACGGGGTTCGGAGACTGTTTCTGCAGGGTTTTGGAGACTTTTCCACAGGGTTCATGGCCGCTTGGCCTTCCCTCCCTCGTACCACATAAGATTTATTCACTTATAGAAGGAACAGGGTTAAAAAAGGTAAGTAGAAATGTTTACATTCTTATACTACATTTTTATACAAGCATGTTCCTACATTACCACCTGATGTCTTAAATAGTCTCCTCTTCTGGCATGAATGGCAACTTTAACAAGTTTTTTTCCAGCATACTTCTCCCTATACAAAGACAAGAATTTAGAGGCATGCACACATAGGTATTTCATCTGAGAATTCAATATGGTTGATTTTAGGGTATATATTCCTTCGAAATGACCCATTTAAAATGTTCATCTTTCAAAGTTATCATTTTGTAAAAAATATTAAAGAGAAATTTCTATCGTATATTGTTGAATATATTTCACTTTTGTTGTAAGGTAAATATGGGTTTTTATCCAGTCTGTGTCATACATCACGAACAAGACAAAATTAAATGGTTTGATCTTACTGGTTGTAATATTAAAGGTGATATGATATCAGGTTGCAAAGATATAGGCATTGACACATTAGCGTTTGTCACAATTGAACTCAACTCCTTCCTGGTCTGTTGTTTTATGCCGTGTTACCATCAAAAGATGAAACTTTATTAACTTGTCTTTGATTTTCATAACAATAAGGGATAATTTTTAAATTTTATTCTAATAGCAATGGTCTTTATTTCAAACTCAACCAAAGTCCAACTTTTTTCTTGTACAACATCCTACCTATCAGATGTTTTTACTGGTCATACGCTTGTAATGGTCTGACGTTTGTCCCTGTCCAGCATTTGTACCAGTCTGACATTTGTACCAGTCTGATGTTTGTACCAGTCTAACATTTGTACCAGTCCAACGTTTTTACTGTTGGATCTTTGTAAGTCTGATATTTGTTGGTCAGGGGTTTGTACTAGTACCTATTATCATTATAAATACAATGGAAGAATTGTTCTTTTTTATCTCCTCTTCAAAACTCATTAATGGGACCCTATTGAAGCTCCCAGACAAATTCCAAGTTGTACTTTGGACAGTTCCAATTTTTTTCCACAGCCAGATAATGAAATAATTTGAGAGAAAATATATTTGTGACAATTGAACAAATATTTTTTATTTTAATAACAATTAAGTAGTTAAATTTAATTAGTATTAGTATATAAGTTTAGGATGAAGAAGGTATTCAAAATTAACAAATGACAACTGTAGGTACAATGCCCATAAAATAGGGGGAGGGGGGATATACCAATGAAAGCTTTTGCTCTGAACACTAAATCAATTAATAATTATATTGGTTTTTATCATGATTGAAAAAGGGAAAACAAATGTTCACTTTGCTTTACATTTGTTTTCTCATTGATTGATTGTCAGTTAATGGACATGAAGATTTAAATCAAATCAGAATTACTCAACATTCATGCTAGGGATACATTTGTTGCCCATATTCTAAATTTTAGTATCATTCTAAATTGTATACCTTAACCTAAATCTATGTTATTATTTTGCTTACATATTTTGGTTATGCTTGCATTAAAATAGCTTTAACATCAGTCAAAAAGAAATCCCGGGACAAGAAAAAATACCTGATTATCTTAGAAGACTTTTCGATTGCATCAAAAGCAGCTGCCTGGATATCTTCATGGAACTGTTTTCAGAAGTAAAATAATATACAGCTGTGTGAAATTTAAGTTTGGACAAGCTATTGAAAGTTTGAGAACTATATAAAGTCAAATGTTTAGGAAATAAATGGACAAACAGTGTTTAACATACCATTTTTTGGTTATTTTCTTCTCTTTTATTGAAAATAAAAATAAAATTTTTCTTAGTTTCTGGAACATTATGTAATAATTTTATGTTCTTATTTTACACTTATCCCAGTAAGAACAAGAAAGTCTTGGACAAGGTCAAGGGCGTCCTAAAGCTTTCACAAGACCCTCAATTTTCCAAAAAATATCTTTTAATTTGAGATATAACTATTTAACTATTCGAGTATCCTGCTTCTGGTTCCCTATTTCAGGCATGTTATCTGTTATCACTCGACGTCTTGAAAGTGTCTTGTGTAAAGTCAAAAAAGGACTTGTTCCCCCCATCCCCACATTAGCCTGTTCCTCACCATATTTTAACAACAACTGTTAGTGGCCTTGTCAAGACATGAAGCCAAGACAACCCTCAGTTTTAAGACGATATATTGCATCCTCATGTGATATGCCCCATCCCCATTTAAGCCTGTTTCCCACCATACTTGATCCACATCTGTTTGAGGGCTTGCCAAGTCTAAGTATTGTGACAATATCATATTTCATCCACATGTGTACCAAGACACAATGCCAGGCTTCCCCTTATAAAGACAAAAATCTTCCCCCACCCCCCTTCTTTATGCTGTCATTTTTAGGACAGTAAAATCTTTCAGGTGGACTTGATTTTTTAAGCTGTGAAGATGCTGTCTTTGGAATATATCTATTTAAAAGTTTAGGATGTTTAAGCAGAAAGAGTGACCACAGTTTAGTTTTTGTCCTTCCCCATGTAAAATAATAATAAAAATAGCATAGTAATAATAATAATAATAATAAAAATGATAATAATAATAATAATAATAATAATAATGATAATAATAATGGGGGGGGGACCCTATGTAAGCCCTGAATAGACAGTTCTAACTTCTTAGAAGAACCAGTCAAGACGTCCTAAAATATTTATTTGAGGAGCACCTCATGACGTCCTCTGTAAGTGAATGTAAGAAGAGTGCAGGGACGGGAGGGGGGGGGGTGTAGAATAGCTGAAGGAGACACTTCGGTCAATAACCAATGAATCTCCCCAAGTAACAAAACAGAAGAATTTCTCCAGATTCTCCAACCATGGTGACTTTCTTTGAAGAATTTCTGAGGAATTTCTAGAGAATCATTTCCTGTAACTGATTCCTCGGAAAGTCTCGAGAAATTCCCCAGAATTGGTCCCCAAGATGAGAGATTTTCGAGGGATCACAGTTTCGAGAAATTACGGAGAAATTCCGAGGAATTTTGTGGGGAAAAATTCCTCAGAATTTCTCAGGAATACTTCTCAGGAAATTCCTAACAAATTCTTAGGACATGGTCATCATGTTTACTGACTTTTAGGGAATTTATTAAGAGAATTAGTTTCAAGAAATTCCTGCGAATTTCTCTGGAATTTCAATAAAAGAAAATCCTGAAATTCCAGAAAAATTTTTGGTATTTGGTCACCAAGTTTACATTTTTTTTGAGGAATTGAATATGAGAATTAATTTTGAGAAATTCCTGGGAATTACTCCAGAATTTCACCCCAAGAAACTCCGGAGAAATTCTCCTGAATGCTTCTTAGGAAATTCCTGAGAAATTATTAGGACTTGGTCACCAAGTTTATGGATTTTTAGGGGAATTAAATAAGAAAATAAGTTTCGAGAAATTCCTGATAACTTCTCTGGAATTTTTCTTCAGAAATTCCTGAGAGTTTCTCAAGAATATTTCTCCAGAAATTCCTGAGAAATTCTCAGGACTTTTTTACTTAATTTTCAAGTCTGTTTTTCTCCAATAGGTGTCTCTGAGGTTCTCTTCTAATAAGCACTGCCATAACTAAATCTTTTTTCTTTGCATCCTTTTTAATAAAAAATGATAATTTTCTTTAGAACCATCTTTTTAAAAATAGTTTTAAAATTTTTTTCTTCATTTTTTTATTTTTTCTTGACAATTCAGTTGTCTGAATAAACAAAATACATGACAACTTCAGTAAGATCAAAAACGACTATATTATTCTGACTTAAGAAGATGGTTATACTTCTAAAAAGTTGGAGGGGCAATATAGTTGTGAAGTTATTCACTACTATTGGGCCTGGGCCTTGTTAGTGAATATACTCAGGAATATGCTGAGAATATTTTAAGATATTCCTGAGGAAGTCTTGAGTAAATCTATGAAATAGTTCCCAGGAATTGGTCCTGAAGAACTTTTTCCAGAAATTCTTAAGAATAATTCCTAAGAATTTCCACAAATTTTGTCAACATTTTCTCCGGTTTTTCTGCAGAATTGGTAACAAGAAATTCCCTGGAATTGGTTACAAGAAATTCCTTGGATAGGGCTATGAGTATTTCCTCGGAATGAGTTGCAAGAAATTCCTCAGACCCATTCCTCAAAATGGGTTACGCAAAATTCCTAGGAATAGCTGTCGACATTTTCACCGTAATTTCCTGAGAAAGATTCCTGGGAATTTCTTGCGGATTTTCCGCTAAATTGTTACTTGGGTCCAAAATTTGAACCATTCAATTGTGAGCCCCTACGCCTGAAGTAAAGAATATATTAAAAAGGGAAAATCTATAATCCTCTCCAGACCCTAATGGTATCCCATATGAGATATTAATCAAATGCAACTATCTTCACCACATGTTAGCCACCATGAATAATACAGTGAATGTTCTGGGATCTCCTCCCCATTCCTGGTCACTCAGTGTGGTCAAATTATTACTTAAGAAAGGACTGACAATTAACCAAGGAAACATTCACATCATCTCCCATACATCTTTAATTGCAAAAACATACCATCTTCTTCTTGCAAAAAGACTGACCAAGTTTTTAACAGTGAATAATTATATCAATGAGCAAGTATTGAAGGCCGTTATGCCGGTCATTAATGGCACTATTGAGCATACTGTCGTCCTTGAAGAGTTTATAAGCAAAGTAAAGATAACAAGAAAACTATCCATGCATTATTTTTCGATTGAGAAGATGCATTTGGTACTGTGCCACACCCTCTCATCACACATACCCACAAAAGGCTTAATATTCCTGAAGAAATTCAGCTTTATATCAACACCCTGTATAATATTCAACTTTCTATTGCATTTATGGACAACTTTTCTACTGATGGGTTTCCCTTTAAAAGAGTATTTCAAGGTGACCTGCTCAGCCCCATCACATTCCTGATGGTTTTCAATCTAATCATTGAATTTCTACAGAGTAATTATGTATGTGGATTTAATCTGAATGGAGAGAAAATTATTACTCTGCCCTATGCTGAAGATTTTTGCCTGATAACAACAGATGTGAGAAAACATTAGAAAATTCAGAATGAAATAAATCCAACATTGAAAGTGTGGGAATGAGATTAAAACGGTGCTATGGAAATGCCTCAACACGGAAAGGCCTCAACACGGAATCAGACCCAAAAACGGAAACCTCAAAATGAATTTTTTTGAGGCGTTTCCTGTCTTTTCAAAAATTAACGGAAATCCCTTTAATCCAATTTTTAAAAAAAGTTTGAAATTCTCAGTTTATTGATAGGTTTCCTCATTTTTTGGGTAAGTTTCTGGTTTTCAAAAAAAGTTTTAAAATCTCAGTTTGTTGATTGGTTTCCTCTTTTTTTTAGGTCTGTTTCTGGTTTTCAAAAACAAATTTTAAAATTTCAGTTTGTTAGTCGGTTTCCTCATTATTTGGGCCATTTTCTGGATTTCAAAAAATATCCCAGTTTTATTGGTTTGTCCCCTTTTTTTTGATCGGTTCCCTCATTTTGGGCCAGTTTCCGGTTTACAGAAAAGATTCATTATTTTCGAATTTCGATTAATTTTCATTAGTATCTGGTTTAAAATAAAATATTACGGTTTTGGCTTTAATTGGAGTTTTAATCTTCTTCTGTGCAGATACTTCAGATATTTCAGATTTTAAGTCAACATATTCTAAAGTAATAGTCAATTTCATTACAATTAGATGTTTTTCCATAAAAAAATGCATCTGGGCAATGAAGAATATGCTTCTAAATAACGTCACATACTATACATTGACGACAAGAAAATTATAGAAATTAGAAATTAGCAAAGGCTATTGTAAACAGTTAATGTAAAAAAGTTCCAAACTGTATTCAAACTTGGAATTATTTTGGTAAAATATAGTAAGTTTGAAATATCAAAGGTTTACACCACTCAGTGCAAAGATTTAGGGATTAGAATATTTGGGTTTGTGGCAAAATCTAGAAAACATTCTGAGACTAAGCCTGGCAAACTTCTAACTGATAATCATATTTGATAACTGTATTTTGATAGAACTTCTTTGAAATCAAAAATGAGACAAGATTATAAATGTTGGTTAGAATGATCAATCATAAATTCGATAAGTTCAGGAGAAAACGTAACGTTATATGTCCTTTTTCAATGTAGATGATTAAAATCATAATGTATTTTAAGTTTTTTTACAGAATATATAAATGTTTATTTCTTGTAATTATATCTGTAATTAAGCAAGGTACTTTTTCTCTCTACTGGCAGAAGACTTACTGTAATCCTAGGGTTTCCACATTTTAGGGTTTCTTGTCTTAACAGTCTCATACTTTGTCAGAAACCAATCAACAAACTGAGAATTTAAAGCTTTTTTTTGAAAACCGAAAACGGACCCAAAAAATGATGAAACGGACCTGGAAAAAAAGGAAATCGATAAACAAACTGAGAATTTAAAACTTTTACTGAAAATCAGAAACAGACCAAAAAAAGAGGAAACCGATTAACAAACTTTGATTTTAAAATTTTTTTTGAAAACCTGAAACAGACCCAAAAAAACGGGAAACAAATCAAATGCAAGTATAGCGGAAACCGACCCAAAATTTTTGGAAATCCCTCAACTCTTTTTATTTTTTGAGGGATTTCCAATAATTCTTGAAAAAAAGAAGGAAACAGACCCAAACTCACTTTTGTGTCCGTTTCCGTGTTGAGGCATTTCTGAGTTGAGGCATTTCCATAGCACCAGTTTTAGACTTCCTTGGCCATATCTTGTTCTTACTGGGATTTGACTATTTATTTAACCCTGTAGTGGCTAGGGGGTCTGAATTATATAGACTTGTAGGAGGGCGTCCTTCTCCCCCCTTCATTAGAAAAAGGCCTTATAGAATAGATACAGGGTGGAAATGCAAGTTCATAGCCCAATTTTTCAAGGCCAGCTCATTGCACAGGAAAATTCAATCGATAACTTTTATACATTGAAAAAAAATGTAAAAAATATTTTGTTTGCTTTAAATAAATATCGAAGTGTGGCACATGTTTCAAAATTCTTTTTTCAAGGACTTTTTAAAAATATATTTTTTAGATCTGTAGCTTTAGTCACAATAGCAATGGGCTATTTTTTATTTTGTTTACACAAACCAGACTTTTTACTGACCTGTACCCAACCCTTATAAATAAAAATCAAATGAATAAAAAAATCTTTTTAATTTCTCTTTATTAGAAGTAAAAAATGTTCACAATAATAGAGTCAAAATGAGTGTGCCAGGGCAAAAAAAAAACGCCCCTTCCCCCCCCCCCAGCCTTTTCAGGGGTAAACATGATAATTTTTTTATGTATTGCCTGAAAATGATTCTTCAACTCCTCTCGTATTGTATAAAAGAGGTAATATGGAGAGGGATAGGCACCTGGAATAATTAATTAATAATGTCATCAAAGGAAAAATCTCAAAAAATAATAAAATTGTTTCAATATTTTCCTGTGACTTTCTAAATAAATGTGCTATTTCATGAAATTTTTAAATGATAAGCTTCAAGGAAATTATTTTGCAAGGTTACACAAGGTTACAATTCATAATTTTAAAAGATTTGGTTTTGAATCTGCTGAAACCCACTCTGAACTGAAATTGGTATCACTCATTTTGAAGAATTTCTAATTTGCAATATAAATCATATCTTGATTAAAAAAAAATATCCCCTTGCATGAGATGTACATTGAAAAATGTTTAAAACTACAGACAATTGTTTAATCCATCTAATTATCTAGATGCATTGTGAAATTTTAGATTTTAATTAAAATTCTTAAAATGATTCTAAAATAAATGCACTATTTTTTTCTAACATCATGAAAATATGATGACCATTTCTCTATGGAAAACATTTTGTTCAAAGAAAATAAAAATTCTAGTTGTAAATTTAATCAAAATATTGACCACGTCAAATTTTTTTTTGGGTGGTTTGATAAACTATGATTTGGTTTATTAATGGTGTTCTTTTGGTCAAAAAGTTTAAACATGGAAAGAATTCAAATCCTCAGGGTTATATTGTTTAATGTCTTCAATTTATCCAAACAGTGCGATATGTGAAAAGACTAATTTTATTTGTTCTGGATAACACTGAATGGCATGAACTAATTCTAAGATTGTATTACCCACACTAAGTATCCTGTTGTACCGATACTTGTCCACATTCTCAATAAATTCATCATAAAAATACTCATTGTACTTGTTCACAGAAGCTATTGTTGTAACAGGAACATCTCCAAGAATAGCACCTATGATGATTAAGCAGGTTACATTGTAAAAGGGACTGTGACCCTCCAATTAAAGATGAAATTACCCTATTCTCAAGTTGAAAATGATATCTGATCAATAATGTTGAAGATATGGTAGTTTACCTAGGTTTAAAAAAATGTCTACTGCAGTAGAAGTATGCAAGTCACTTTTGTAGTGACCCCAATCAAAAATGATCAAGTATCAACATTTTAAACATTGACATTAATTCATAGTAAAAAGAATTGCAAAAAAATGTCCGAATAATGATAAATATACATATTTATAAAGCCCTTGACTATGCCATTTTAAAAATGCAACAAAATTTGTTAAATTTGTCTAATTAAGAAAAACTAAAAATGGGAAATTTTCTTCTATGACAGTATGCAATTAATTTTGCAAAAAATTTGTTTGCCTTACATGTGCAATCCATTTTTTAATGTCACAGACTTTCTAAAAAGCTAAAAAATTTCAAAATCCGACAACTTACAGTGGGTCAAAACAAAAATTTTGTTTGTTATTGAAAAAAAAAAATTCAGACAGTGAGGTTAAGGACTCAGGCAGCTAGTATAAAAGCCTGTTTAAGACCTTAAGGGAGGGCTATGGGTATTAGGAAAAAGCAGAAAATTTCAACAGCTCAGACAAATAATTTTTGGGTTTCATAAAAAAGCTACAAGGGGGGGGGGCAAATTGACCCCCTCCCCCCCAGCTGAAATAGGGTTTAACTGAACTTAATATTGTCTAAATAATTAGCTACACAATATATAATTTTAAGTTATCATTAAGCATGATGCTAACTGTATAGCACTGTTATATTGAAATTTACATAGAATAATTTTCATTATGTAAAGATGGCAATGCATGATTAACTGCAGTACCATTGAAAACTGTTTATATTTCCCTGATGTTCACTTGATGGTAAATTGTAATGTGGTTATTAAATTGAAAAAAGGCATGAATATTTTTGAAAATAAAACATTTCTGTTTAATTAAAGTACCATAATTGTGGAGTTTTTAAATTTGCTCCTACATTATTGTGGATATTTATAAGAAAATGAACTTCCAGTTTGTCTGTAACTTTTTTATTTACTTTTTCTTGTTTATTAAAGAAAAAGCCCTATTGTAAAATATTGTATATTTATAGGGTTCCAGCTGAAAACATGTGAAATTTCACTAATATAGTTATTCTATCTTGCAAACTTTTTGCAAAATTTGGGGAAATGAATTTTACAAAAGAAAGCAAAATAAAATATGCAGCTATTTCACCAAAATTTTAAAGCTTACTGAAATTTATACTGTTGTGCAATTTATTTTTCTTGAAATAGATTAACACAAAATTATGCATTTTTAACTTAAGATTGTTAATCCTTTTTAAAATGGTAAAGTATGATATTCACCTTCTCTAAAAATGTATGCCTCAGGGGCAAAAGCATTTCTCATCATCCGATCATCATACTTTGATAAAATTGCTGCAAACCCATACTTTCAGTAATTAGTCAATTAATTAGGGTCTCACATTTAAATCTACAGTTGCAGCTGTTACCTTGAAACTTTTTGATATTTCATAAGATGATGAAGATTTAAAAATAATCATGTTTTGTTGAAAAACGATGTATACAAGATAATTAATTTTAAAGCAAAACACAAACAATTTTTTTTTTAAAGATAAAAATGGATTTCAAAAATGTTTTTTTTTAACGATTTTTCAATACTGACCAATGAGATGAGACATATATATTTTGAAGGTCTTTTTTTCTTAGAATTTAATTGATTTCTAAAAAGATAAACATTGTAACTTTTGCTAAAATAACCAAATTGTTTAAATTATTAAAATGATTAATTGAATTCCTTTGAGAGATACTGAAAAAGTTAAAGTTAAAATTATTCCTAACATTTTATTATCGGTTTTGTCTTAATTAACACTTTATAAATCAAAGTAATAGAAAACTAGCCTCATTAAAATAGATAATTTTATGATTGAATAAAACGGAACTATATTTACAAAATTAAGAACACAGTGATACTAATTGAGATAATGTAGATAAGTGGAAATAATAGAGAACACACCAGGGAATCATCGGCCAATCCTGGCCAAGACAGTTTAGCTCTGACCATTTTGCATGGCGTTGTGGTAATGACTAACTACTCCTGTAGTCTAAATGATCAAGAGGCTTTCAGATAGGGTTTGAATATTAATTAAAAGATGAAAAATTAAAGATGTGTTTAAAATTTAGGTTTCCACCAACATAAGCTAGGCTATTGTCAATTTAGCTTAATTTAAGTCTATTTATTGGAATAATTCTTGAAAATATTTATGCTAAATTTACGTCAAACTCATTCTATGCCAATTCCATATCTAATAGATAGAGTAGGAACTGGATGTAAAGATGAATCTTTTAAGTTTTTAGTTGTCATTTAAATGCAAATTTTAACTGGAGCCATCATCTGAAGTTGGTTAAAAGCAAAGTCTCCAATGCAGTTTTTGAATTGTCAAATGTAAAAAATAGTTTTTTAACTATCAACTTAACATATATGATCTTATCACAATATTTACCATTAAGCTTTCTTCATGGAATAACCTGCCTTTTGACTAAAAGTATATTGAAAAATAGACTACTAAACTCTTTTTAGAAAATTACATTACAATCAGTTATAAAGCAGATTGTTATTCATGTAAAACTAATTAATTATGTTTTATTAAAAGTCTAGTTATTCCAACAAATGTGTAAACTATTTTGAATAAGATAAAATCGAACCCTGATCTCTGATAGTTTTCCTCAATTCTATTTAATTAAAACAAATTTGTATCATAATTGAAGTTAGTTGGAAAAAATAATGAAATCAGCCAAGAGCTATTTTCCTCCTAATTGCTTTATATTTGTATTATTAAAATAATTATCACTTTGAAATTGTAAATATATTCTGTATACAAAGATAAATGTTTTTTAGCAATAAACTTTATCTATCTATCTACCTATTTATACAGCATATAAGTATTATTTTATATTTAAGAATACTAGATTTATAGAAATAAATGAATTTAATACTTACCAGAAGAGTGGCATATGCTTGCATTACATTCCCCAATCTTCCCATACCAATAGTCTAGAATAAAATGACTTTGTATCCTTTACGTTAAACCTAATCCTGCTGAGGGGGGGGGGGGTTTTGAGTCAATTCACCCCCTCCCTCAGGATGTTAAGATTTTCTTACTTTTTCTTAATACTCATGGCCCTCCATTTTAGTTCTAAATCTGGGCTTTTATAATAACTGCCTGAGTCCTTAGGAACACTACCTGAATGACTACTTTTTCTATAACAAACTAAATCTTTGTTTAGACCCACTTTCAGTTGTCAGTTTGATAATTTTTAGCTTTTTGGAAAGCCTATGACATAAAAAGCAGATTGTACATTTTTTCCAAGGAATTTTTGCAAATTATTGGCATACATTAGTTTTCCTTAATCACACATCACAAGTGGTGGTGGGGGTTGGAGAACACTAGGCGGAGACCATAGCATTAATTAAATCAGTCAGAAAGAGTTTTAGGTGTAAAGGTAGGAGCCTAGGTCTACTCAAGAAAGAGAACACTGGATGTCTAAATATATATTTGCATACAATGTATATAATAAAGTACAAATAGGGAGTTGACAGGAACTGGTCAACCTCCATATAAACATAAACAGGGATAAATATGACAAATATATATGAATAAACTAGTCTTACACAGTCCCCCCCCCCCAGATTATTGAGGATACAAAGATGGGGCTGACTTGGCTTGCTTTGAAGGTTGAACTCTGAAGGGAAGAGTTGGAGGTTGAACATTTAGGTCTGAAGTTGGAGGAACAGATCTGGTTGCCCGTGGAAGAGGTTTATCTTGTATCCTAAGGCAACCTCTTGGAGGAGGCTGAGCTACTAAAACAGGATCAGTGTAGAACACTGGTTTTAACCTGTCAATGGATACAGTGTCAACCTTAGATCTAATCTGCAGCTTAAAAAACTTATCTTCAGGCTCAATAACCAAGTATGGTCCTCTGTACAGTAGAGTAGGCTGAGGAGAGGTTGAGTCCTCTCTTACATATATATACTTGCCTCGGAGGAGATTGGGAGGAAGGTGAGAAGGTGGAGCTGTGTGATGATGTGTTGAACTGAACCCTGAGATTGCATTCTCTGTTTTCCCCAGAAAACTTGATGGTTGAAGTTCACTTGCGTCCAGAAATTCTCCTGATAGTGTGAGAGGAGATTCATAGACAGACTTGGAAGAAACCTGTATCCTCTTTAGGCTCAGACCTCAGACCAAGGAGGGCAAGAGGAGGTTGGAGATCCAGGAGGACAGATTATCTCTGGATCTGAGATCAGATTTTAAGTAACGATGAAATCTTTCTACTAAACAATTACTTCACAGGTGGTAGCTAGTAATGAGAATGTGGTCAATTCCAAGAGTGGAACAAACCTTGGACCATAATGATGAGGTGAATTGAGCTGCTCTGACAGAGGTGAGAGTAGATCTTGAAATTGAGGTATTGAACTTCCTCCAGCCATCTGGTGGTTCTTTCCATCATGGTGAAAAGATATGTGTATCCTTGGCAAGCTGGAAGAGGACCAACCAGGTCCATGTGGATGTGAGAGAAACGTCTAGCTGGAACTGGGATGGTAAGGACAGGGGAATGCACATAACTGTAAATCTTGCTTTTCTGGCAGGATAAGCAGGCTCTGGTCCAGACAGAGACGTCTTTGGATATAGATGGCCAAACAAACCTTCACGATAAAATTCTCCTTGTTTCAGGTATACCAGGATGGTTGACCTGGTGTAAAGATAGGAAGAGCTTGTAATGAAGAGCTCCAGGTACCAGAGGTCTGGGAGGTCCTGTAGAGATGTCATCAAGAAGCTGGAGTCCTTGAACAGGGATAGAAACATCATTAAGGGATTTTGGGGTTGCCATCCACTTGACTGAGGGACAGGAGCTTTGGAGAAAGACGAATTTTTGGTAAGTTGGGAGGTCATATGGAGGCATCGGAAGGACTGGGGGAATTGGGGAAACTAGAGGCATTGTAGTTGTTGGAGACAATGGATCAGGGTGGATGCTGTGGGCTGAAGCTAAAGGTCAGGGAACCACTGGTTTGATAAGGTGTCAGCTAAGGAGTTCTTCTCACCAGGGACCTCACAATGGAACTGGTAAACTCGGATATATATGACAGGTGACGCTGTTGACGAGCTGAACAGGGAGGAAATGAACTTAACAGGGCAGTAGTGAGATGTTTGTGGTCTGTGAATAGTGTGAACTCCCTCACCTCCATCATGAATCTAAAAGAGAGAGTTTCTTGGAGAAAAACTCCATGGGGGCCCAGGAACCACCAACTAGTTGATGTAAAACTCCTCCTACATGTGTGTTAGAAGCATCTACTTCCACACAAATCAGAGCATTTGGCACAGGATGGACAAGAGTTGGAAGGGATGACAGCAGAAATTTGGTGGAGGGACAGGCGGAAGTCATCTCTGTGGACCATTTCAGGACTTTCTTGGATTCTTTGGGTCCCTTTAGTGCATCTGTTATTGGAGCCAAAATCTTTGATACATATTCTACAAAAGTTTATCATCCTAGGTAGTGCTGTAATCCGCCCATAACTGTTGGCGGTGGGGAAATCTTGAAGGGGGGAGGTTTGTTTCTCTATTGGTTGAATCCCATGGGCAGAGACTCTGTGGCCCAGGAACTCCAGCTGAGAGACTCCAAACTTGCACTTGGGGAGACAGATGGTGAGGCCAAGTAATCTGCAGAACAGAACATAGGTATTCCACATGGTTCTAGAGGCTAGGAGAGAAAACTAAAATATCAGCAACTTAAAGGATAGCATAGGGCAGGCCAGCCATTATCATATCCATCCTTCTTTGAAAATTTTGACCTGCATTTTGTAGATCAAAGGCATCTTGAGGAACTCCCAAAGGCCAAATGGCGTAATGATGTGAATGGGTCAACTGTAGGTCCAGGTATAATATTCTCTGGTCTCTGGTTGATCCCACTCTATTGTGTTGTCTGTTCCTATTTAATGTTCTGGGTGCTATGTCAGTAGCAGGACCCCATTGTAACACACTTGTATTCCTGTTATGGCGTTCAGTACTTTATCTGGAGCCTGGTTTATAGCTGCGGTGTGCTATTTCTGTCTCTACCAAACAGAGCTAAAATAATTTCTTCATCTATAATTCTAGCTTCCTCCTCTCGTATTTTGTTGCTCATCCATGATCTATAAATATTTCAAAGTGGTGCAGAACAGAATATATATTAGAGATAATTGGTTTTGAGGGACAGAAAAGTAAAGAAATATATTTCAACCTCATGAAAACCTGTTGTGATAAAGTATGCTGGATCATATTGTAAAAAGCTTTGTATTGAAAACAAAGTGGTTTAGCTCGCAAACAAATTTCTTATATACTCAACAAACAAAACACAGGTTTTCAATGAGATTAGCATTATGGATAATTGGTTGATAATTCACGTGATTAATTCATGTACCCTCCTTGTGTTATACTCGTGGTAAATCTACTTTTCATAATCTTGAAGATTCTTCCTGTGCACAGCATGAGTAAAAA